CCTGCAGCTGGCAGGCCCAGGACGCGGGGTCTCTAGAGGGGCCTCCAAGGGGCCTCCAGGGCGGGGCCTGTGAGGCGACCGTCGCTGGATCCCCTCCGTCTCACGGAGCGGAAACGGGACAGAGGAGTGCCAAGGGTTCCCCGGGGCTGGCAGCCCTCCAGGGGCTGATGGGGCCCCAAACCCTAACTGGCCACCCCCAGGCATCCTCCCTCAGGGCACAGCTTGGGGCCCAGGGAACCAGCCCCCTCATGCAGGGGAGGGAGCGGTGATGCTGGGAAGAGAACCACCAGCACAGCCCAGGAGGCACCACGCAGTGCGACCTGGGGCCTGAGCCAGGGTGGGTGGGGCCAGCTGGGGGGGGGCCTGGGTCAGGTGTGAGTGTGGGCCTGGGTCAGGTGAGAGGGTGGGGCCGGGCCAGGTGTGAGGGGGGGCCGGGCCAGGTGTGAGGGGGGGCCGGGCCAGGTGTGAGGGGGGGCCGGGCCAGGTGTGAGGGGGGGCCGGGCCAGGTGTGAGGGGGGGCCGGGCCAGGTGTGAGGGGGGGCCGGGCCAGGTGTGAGGGGGGGCCGGGCCAGGTGTGAGGGGGGGCCGGGCCAGGTGTGAGGGGGGGCCGGGCCAGGTGTGAGGGGGGGCCGGGCCAGGTGTGAGGGGGGGCCGGGCCAGGTGTGAGGGGGGGCCGGGCCAGGTGTGAGGGGGGGCCGGGCCAGGTGTGAGGGGGGGCCGGGCCAGGTGTGAGGGGGGGCCGGGCCAGGTGTGAGGGGGGGCCGGGCCAGGTGTGAGGGGGGGCCGGGCCAGGTGTGAGGGGGGGCCGGGCCAGGTGTGAGGGGGGGCCGGGCCAGGTGTGAGGGGGGGCCGGGCCAGGTGTGAGGGGGGGCCGGGCCAGGTGTGAGGGGGGGCCGGGCCAGGTGTGAGGGGGGGCCGGGCCAGGTGTGAGGGGGGGCCGGGCCAGGTGTGAGGGGGGGCCGGGCCAGGTGTGAGGGGGGGCCGGGCCAGGTGTGAGGGGGGGCCGGGCCAGGTGTGAGGGGGGGCCGGGCCAGGTGTGAGGGGGGGCCGGGCCAGGTGTGAGGGGGGGCCGGGCCAGGTGTGAGGGGGGGCCGGGCCAGGTGTGAGGGGGGGCCGGGCCAGGTGTGAGGGGGGGCCGGGCCAGGTGTGAGGGGGGGCCGGGCCAGGTGTGAGGGGGGGCCGGGCCAGGTGTGAGGGGGGGCCGGGCCAGGTGTGAGGGGGGGCCGGGCCAGGTGTGAGGGGGGGCCGGGCCAGGTGTGAGGGGGGGCCGGGCCAGGTGTGAGGGGGGGCCGGGCCAGGTGTGAGGGGGGGCCGGGCCAGGTGTGAGGGGGGGCCGGGCCAGGTGTGAGGGGGGGCCGGGCCAGGTGTGAGGGGGGGCCGGGCCAGGTGTGAGGGGGGGCCGGGCCAGGTGTGAGGGGGGGCCGGGCCAGGTGTGAGGGGGGGCCGGGCCAGGTGTGAGGGGGGGCCGGGCCAGGTGTGAGGGGGGGCCGGGCCAGGTGTGAGGGTGGGGCCGGGCCAGGTGTGAGTGTGGGGCCGGGTCCCAGGGCCGGGCTCACCTTGCTCTCCGTGGCCAGGACCACCAGGCAGCAGGCCTCCACGGGCCCCACTCCACTCTCGGACAGGGAGCCTGTGGCGAGGCCTCTGGAACTTTCCGCACACAGACTCTGGCTGGGGGAGATGCCGGGGTCCTGGGCTGAGAAGTCGACATGGTGGCAGGTGAGGGCAGGCGGGGCCTCCACAGCAGGCTCTCAGGGGACACGCCCCGCGCCTTCCCCCACCTGCTCTCAGCAAAGACAAGGACAGGCGAGCAGCCCCCTTCCATGCCCACTGAGGCCCCCACGTGACCGCCCAGAGCCCTCGCAATGGCGGCACCAATGGCTGAGCGGACACTGAACTGCTGGCTCAGCCTCTCTGATCACAGGGGGTGCTGGCAGGGCTCCCCAACATACGGTCCTGACGGGGGAGCGCAGGCCCAGGGCAGGTCGGGGACCGAGTCCAGGTCGGGGCCCAGGCCAGGAGCCCTGCCCATGTCCCTGAAGCCCACTGGGTCCGACCAGCTGGGGTGTCTCACATCTGTGGGCGGCGCCGACCTGGGACCCCACACACCTTGGGGCAGAGGCTGTGCTCGACGGGCAGCTGGCCCTGGGGGGCCGGGAGGGGGCCCCACTGCCAGGAGAGGCTGCAGAAGGTCCGAGTCCCCTCGGGGGACCACGCAGATCCCACGGCTCGAGAGGCCCTGAGGGTCTGGCCTCACCTCTGCACCCAGCTTTGGAGAGCCGCGGGCCAAGGCAGGGCCCCCCAGCCTCAGGCTGCCCACGTGGGGCCCTGCCAGGCCTGGGTGCCACAGGACACCCC